AGAAAAATAGATAAGCGTTTTCATATTTCGCATCGATGGTACTTCGGAGTTGGTTTTTTTTTCTGCAAAAGAAAAGGAGGAAACCGAACGGAATCGTCGACTGCAGATTACTTGGCAACGCGCACCGGCCTGGCTCTGACTTATCGATAACAAAAGCGAAATACTTTACTTTATATAAATGAAAAGTTGGGAAAACTCAACGGGGAGTTATCGCCCGGTCGGGAAATTTAACAAAAACATTCGAAAGGTTTTATTCTCCGGCAACGAACTTATTCGACTCCTTTCCCCCCCTCATATTCTTAAGGTAGTTTTTTCGTTCGGTACACGAAACTTCCCAAAATCCTCGTTTCTTGCTATTTTAAGAGATAAATATTAAATAGAAGTTCGGTGAAGCACTGAAGGCTTCCCAATGACTCCAAGGAAATTTGATGCCCCATTAAAAATTGATACTTGGGCATCATATAAAAGCGCTCTGAACCTTTCAAAAATTGTTAATTAGGAGTCCAAAAAATGTTTAAGGCAATACCTCATGAATATCGAAGACTAATCATCTATGTAGAGGTTGTCTCTTGAGGAATGAAACATCCATTTATGCATTGTTGAAACATGTTGTATACAGGGTGACCCAGAACACACGCCCCACCGGGAAATGCTTTATGGAAACGAAGCTGAAAACTGCAGCCAAAAACATGAAAATGTTATTCCTTTGGTAAATAAAGAGGTTCAAAATAGACCAATCCCAGTAGGAATTCAAATCCACGAAAATGACGTGAATTAGCTATACACCAATTTGATATTATTAAAAGATTCTACGTCCTTTTTACTTTCAAGGTTAACAAAAGTTGCTAAAATCAGCTGTGACTATTGATCAAAGATTTGCTTCCAAATCGATCATTCAGAAGCTTCGTCGTGCTGATATCAAACCTACAGAATTTTTTATTGCTTTAAAAGTGGTTCGAATCGAATTATCCATTTTTGATCGATTTTAAAGCAAATCTTTGATCAATAGTTACAGCTAATTTTGGCAGCTTTTGTTAACCTTGAAAGTGAAAAGGAAGTAGAATCTTTCAATAATGTAAAATTGGTGTATAGCTAATTCATGTCATTTTCGTGGATTTAAATTCCTACTGGAATCGGTCAATTTTAAACCTCTTTATTTACCAAAGGAATAACTTTTTCATGTTTTTGGCTGTAGTTTTGGCATCTCCATTGTCGTTTACATAGGGCATTTTCCGGTGGAGCGTGAGTTCTGGGCCACCCTGTATATTCATGTACTCTTTTTGTTTGATCACACTTATGAAGATCCAATTTTCCCCAAAAATACAGGACCATCCAGACCCATCTCAGAACACATAGTACAAACAAATTTGCACCATTAACTAAACACCGAGTTGTTTTTCAATACAAACTGATCGTTAAATTCATCCTTTATGCGTCTGTTCGGAATACCGCTAAACCGCAATCTCAATCTGAGCCCATAAATTCCAGGGGAATCACTTAACAGCCCGTCTTTTTCTCAGTAATAAACCGCACACACCGGACTACCGCTATACGGTATATAAGGTATTATGTATTAGCTATATGCATCAATCCTGCTGAAAATTACTAGTAGATAGATATAGACCATTCGTTGAACTTACACGGGTTTGATTGAAAGATTTTTTAATTTATTATTTGGATTATTTGCCAATTTATATTCATAATTAAATTGACCAGTTTATATTTACCCAAAAAAAGGGTAAGATTAGGAGGTACCGGTGGAATCCCGTGTAAGTTCAGAGAATGGACTATTATTCTTCGAATATTTCATTAAAATGGGGGTGATTAGTAAAGTATAGAGGGAGATAAACAATATAAAAAAATTTGCATATATGTATATGCATATTTCCCCTTTACACGCCATATGCAAGTTACAGGACGTGCAAAAAAATTACCTGCTGGAATTTCGAATTTTGCACCGAATTACCGAGCGCTCTAATAGTGGAAAATAATTTTTCCGTCGCCGCAGCAACCCTTTAAAGGTAATAAAATGAACCCAGAATTTTCAATTAACCCTACCCGCGTACGATTTGATCGTCCCTTAAATACTTTACAACGACCCGAACCGGACGAATTTATCGAAAACCACCCTGTTGCTAAACCGGCAGTAAAAAGCGGGGTAAAAGCCGCCCTTTCGCCCATACGGACGCCGCATTTCGAAGGACATTTCGTATTCCGGCGCGGTGTCGCCCATAAAATCGGCTCTCCTTCGACCGCTCCCTCTCTCGCACGGTCCCACCCCCCGGGGGCTCTAAACCGACCCCCTCACATACGCTCACCTTCCACGTACGGACCATTTCCGAAATTTCGCATTCAATTCCGATACGCGCCGAGATTTTCGGGAAACGGGAAAAGCTCCCGGTTATTGTCTGAGTCGCGGAAAGCGTCGCGACGCCGAAGCGGAGCCTTTTAGCCTGTTGAATGAGCCGAGAAAACTTCTTATTAACTCCTCCGAATCTCTACTAGGATTTTTTCAAATGTAACTGTAAAAACTAACCTCTCACCATTTGATTATACAACACTCGGTAATATTAAGCGTAGCTCTCACCCTGTACAATACTAAATAATACAACAAAACAACACGGAAATAGTGTATACAGTGTGTCCACGGATGGGGTTGCCTATAGGAGAAAAATTTTTATTATTCATTTTACGACAAAAAGTCATTGTTTATAAATATTTTTGCTTTTTTTAAAAATGAGAATAACACTGAAAAATCTTAGATTGGATCTACAGGGTGTTGCCAAATTAAGAAAACATGAAAATACCTCAAGAGGGAAGTACCATTATTTTTTATTTTACACAAAATTTGTATGAAAGAAAGTTGTTTATAATCTAAAATAAAGCCTGAATACAAATTTGCAAACTTAAATTCAAATTTTGTGTGTCCATAGATAAAGTTGATCATATAAGAAAAATGGTTATTATTAATTTTACGACGAAAAGCCATTCTTTATAAAAAAAATTAACTTGTCGAGAAAATGAGATTCACGAAGAACGAAGAACGAAGAACTAAATAATTTTTATTATCTTACACATTTGAAAATTTAAATTCAAGCTTTATTTTAGATTATAAACAACTTTCTTTTATAAAAATTTTGTGTAAAATAAAAAATAATGGGATTCCTCCCTTGAGGTATTTTCATGTTTTCTTAATTTGGCAACACCCTGTAGATCCAATCTAAGATTTTTCAGTGTCATTCTCATTTTTAAAAGAAGCAAAAATTTTTATAAAGAATGACTTTTTGTCGTAAAATGAATAATAACAATTTTTCTCCTATAGGCAACCCCATCCGTGGACACACTGTATAACTGTCTGAAATTCACCATTATATTAGGGCCTATCATCATCCGGATTGACGTGAAATTCAATTCACGCACCAAACGCAATATTTTCCCTCATATAAGAGTGTCGCCGTACGGCTGTCAATCCCGGGAAAATCGCCCTCCCCACCCGCGTTTTCCCTCTTCGACGGGCTTTTCCGGTCGGGGAGTCTCGCGGGAACCGGCGACTCCGCTAATTGCAGCCCCAATTCGACCGCCACGCGCTGAAATGGGGACGGATGTTCCGAATATATTTCGGGGCTTCTCGTTTCTTGGTTCTTCGGGAATCGGGGGTGCAGTGTTTGAAGATTAGTTGATTAATTCTTTAGAAATTACCCAAATTGTTGCGATTATGTTTCTACTTTTTCTACTACAATTTAGCTGGTTTAAATAGAATTAACTTTAAATAGAAATGGTTTAAATAGAATCAACTCCGAATACGAAGCGTTAATATCCGGTACGGCACTGTTTCTCGCTTAAAAACGAGATGGCTAATTTATCGGAGGTCATTATTTCCGGATTATCCGGTATTCGTTAAAACTAATTGGTTGTTATTAGTTGGTAGACCAAGTGCCATAAGTCGCGATTGCTCGTGGAAAAAGTTTTAATCAAAAAACCGTTACATGTCGGATTTCGGGAGGAAATTTATCAGAGGGAAAAGGAAACGTGTTTGCTCTATTACGGCGCTATTTTTTTATATTTTTTGAGAATTTTGTTTAACGGCTCGTTGGGGGATTGTCTAGCAAACAAGTCGTTAAGCAAGGATATTATTTCGGGATAATGAAAGAGGAGTTGGGTGGAAATAATAGCGAAAGTTCTCTTCTTTCGGCTGAGATAACTCGTTACTTTTAATAAGGGAAACAGGTAGGGAAAAAAACTAGCTAATTCTGAACATAATTTAGCGCGGAGTTAATCATGTTTCGGGGCTAAAACATTTTGCATAAATTCGCGCGGTAACGATTTTCTGACAGGCCAATTTACCCGGCAAATTCGACCAGGTGATATATATTTCACCCGAAATACCTTATTTCCTCGCACGTGTAATCACTCCGCGAGGCGAAATTTTGAGCGATTCCGCTCCAACTGAACTTTAAATTACTTGGTAATAAAGTACATTTGCACAATAACAATTTACATGATCCAATTTCCCCTTGTAACTCGGGAATTCTAACTCGATTTGCCCGGCGTTAGTTGGCCCCGCACCTTTTCCAGCTCGGGAAATATTTTAATTCGTTCGATTCGATTTCCTCGCGCTAAATGCTCGACGGGAAAAATTATTCCCTAACTTAATTAACTTATTTGTTACCGGAAATATCGAAACGAAAATGATACATAATCCCACTAGAATAATTCCTGCATTATCACATTATTATACGCATACATTGTGCAAAAATGCTCCAAATTTGAGCACCATACGGTCCAAACATGGTCCTAACATGGTGCAAACTTGGTCCAAACGTGGTGCAAAAAAACATGGTCCAAGCATGGTCCTAACATTATGCAAACTTGGTCCAAACGTGGTGCAAAAAACATGGTCCAAACATGGTCCTAACATGGTGCAAACATGGTCCAAACGTGGTGCAAAAAAACATGGTCCAAACATGGTCCAATTTGAATAATTTTTAATTCCATTTCAGGTAATTACGAGAAGACCCAAAACGATTTGAACGTGGTGGTGATTTGCCTGGCCGCCATTTTCGGCATCCTCCTGACCTCGGTGGTCGTGTATTACTTCATCAGGAAGCACAGGAAGAAGAAGAGGCAACACCAGAGCCTCTACAACATGGCCTCGAACGGTGAGTAAACAAGATGGAAACTAATAAGCAAAGATAAACTCACATATGGAGGGTAATTCCATGCCCGATCGTATTGTAGGTGGATAATCCGGATATCACTTCGATAATTTCGGTTTTGTGTATGTTTCAAACAAACCGGTGGTTTAATGGGAATATAGAGTAAATAATTGTCGAGTGTACTAATTAGTGAAGTTCTATTTGAGGTCACTATTTGGCTCTGTTAGCTCTAACAATCTTTTAATCTGAAATTCGCGTAAGTTCGGCGATATTTCGCGGGTTCGAAATATTTTTTCGTAGAAATTGCCCGGAAAACGCAAGGTAAATCGATTGTCCAAACAACATAACAAACGGCGAGTTGTGCCTTCCGAGCACTCTTCTCTTCTATTTGATTTTCTCGTTTCTGTTTCGCCCAGTGGAGCAGGTCAATTGGCCGAAATTCAATATCGTACGTGACCTATTTGTAAAAAAACAGCCCGCTTTTACGATTCATAAATCCGATATATTAGACTCACGTTCGATATGCGCCCGAGCTGAATTTAAATCGCCCGATGGTTTTATATGGTTAACTCCGGCCTCGTAAAAGATGATATGTAAATCTGTAATCGATTATATTGGATTTGTAGAGAAGTTCGATTTCTTCGCAAGGTATTAGGATTATATTTCGGCTATCTCAGTTTTCGTATTATTAAATTTGTCTACAATACAGGATATGGTCCATTCGCTGAACTTACGCGGTTATCGGGTTAGAAGATTATTTAAATGGGTCTAAATTATCTATTTCTATGAAATGAAAGGGCAATGAAAAATAAGGAAAGTTCATTTTATCTATACTGTACCTAAAAGTAAAAGATTAAAGCTAGAAATGGGCAATATTAATCATTAAACCGTCCATTAAATGCATAAAAAACTATTCATGTAATCCTAGACTTTTATTACAGGAAGACTCTTTGCACATGGCCCATTGCTTCTTAATCGCAGGCATCAAAATTATGATTCCTAATTAAGCCGAAATATTTCAATTTTTCAAATAACCTTTTTTTTATCGCCCAAATCAACACGTGTGCCTATTTAAAAAGCTCCCGTGTGGTTCAAAAAGGTACTTTATAGCTAAAATTTACACGGACCATATGCCCCCGACCTCTATAAATAATCTAACTCCACGTGAATGATTTACCTAATAGCTGTGTTACGTTAGTTTAAAACTCACATATTTAAATATAAAAAAAATATGACTTATAAGAAGAGTGTGTAATTTTTCCACGACTGCTGCATAAAATCAACTCCCGGAAGCGTACAAATTATGAATACTCAACACAATTAGCGATGTAAATCTCCGCAAGAAACGAATATAAAATGTACAAGGAAATATCTAGTTCGAACGATAAATCGTTGCGACAATTAGCAAGAGTAATGCATCGCCATTAATGGCAACACAACAGTTCTTGCATTGTGATAGATGAACTTTGAACGCGATAAGTCATCCAGAAAGAGGCGACAATTCATTATTCATAGCGAAAGAACGGGCGCATTTCTCACTATTCCTCGCTTTCCCGTCGCTTCTTAAACGCTCACAATGGCGTACCGGTTTTTTATATTCCACGTGGAAAAAAATTGTTCAGTGTACCTACCTCATCGAATGTAGCTTGGCAGTTTGGAAATGTGTATTGTATATAGACGATCAATTAATGGGGTACGAACAATGGAAAGAATTGAAGGAAATTGGGAAATTATCTAATCTGGGAACTCCCTTAATTAATCCAACTGCCAAGCTACTTTTGATGAAGTATACAGACGTAGAGGTATATAGATCGGGCGTGGAAGATTGCACTAATTAAAAACATCTTAAGCCGCGTTCTATTAACGTTCGGATTTTTTTTAAAGCGAGATTAATCGCCGCGAGAGATGAATAAATTATTCGGGTTCGACAAAACACGTGTTAGATAGAAGAAAAAAAAAACGCGTCCCCGGAAAGATTAACGACGTTCCCGAAAATCGTTGATTTCACGGTCTGGAAACTCGCGAGGGCCCGCGTTGATATTCGAAACGAATGTGTAAAAGTCGAGGAAAAACGATCTTGTAAATGATTTTTTTATAGTCTTCATCGATATATCAAAAGGTGTCTCGTTCATTTGGTTGCCTGCAATATTAAAAATAGCACCTAAAGAAACCTGCATACATTTGATCCTTAATTACTTAATAAACACTCTGTACAACAACTCCTGCGAATCGATAGAGGTTTGGGGTATATGATATATCCCAGCGATCCAGCTGAAACCGATTCAGCACGTCTACTTTCCGGTTCTAAATCACCTCTTTTAGCGGGGGTGCAATAAACGGCAAGACCTACGAGGGGTGATTACAATGTATCGCGGCGGCGACTTCCAATATTAATTCCCATAACCGTTTAATACGTATCGTTCCGTTAACGGTTTTAACGTTTAACCGAGGCTATTTGTCACAGACATTCGGACCCCGATGAAATGCTGAAATGCCGGCACGGCGCTATCAAATTCAATAATAAAATCGCTTTATTCGACCGTAAATTAAACGTTGATAATTGCCGTGGCGTTGATTAAGAGATAAAAACTTAACAATGTATCCGTACGTGCACCTACGATGCCAGTTCGATGAATGTTGGTTATTAAGAATCGCCGAGCGCGGCTTTTATGGCATTTTTTTTAACTTTTATTCGTCTATAAATTTTCGTATTAAAAATATGATAGATTGTTGTATACATTTTTTCTCACGAGTAATTTCTTGTACAATGGGAAAATGTTTACTATAATATCTCCTGATAGCAAACGTAGTAAGGTAGACTGGGGCAAATCGGTTGTAAAATGTGAATAGTTCAAATTAAATCCTAAAATGTGGCTTTATTTTTTCTCTTATTAGAAATGCTGTTACCACATTAAATTCACAACTTCCTAAACTAAAGAATCGAGGTATTAAAAAGTTTTTTTTAAAAAAGGAAGAAAACGATTTTACATATTTTTTAAAATGTTGACAATATGTTATATTTACCCCATGGTACGGGGTAAATGTAACAAACGGTTCTAAAGTGCAATACAATTATATAGAAAAACATATGGGGCAATTGTAAAAAAATATTTGGTTCCTCTAAAATTTGATATGCTGTTTATATATTTATTTCAAAAAATAACAGAGCTACAAAATAATAAAGAAAAAATAAGAAACAAACCCTGTCTAATGCACAAAAGAACTATAAAAATAAACATTAACATAATAGGTAAAAATATTACATTTACCCCATTTTTACATTTGCCCCAGTCTACCTTATAAATAGTACCACATAATATTTCTTCCTAGCCTTGCTAAGCTATTAGAAGCTCTATTTTTCTTTAATTTATAATTATACGGTATAAAGCGTGGTTCAATTAAAGAAATACCTAAAATTTTATGGGTTTCCTAATGAACTCGCACAAAATGAAAAACACGTGTGGTTTCCACGTTCACTTTGAAACCTTCATCCTCGAATTAAAAAAAAACGGAGAGACGAGCCCGTTTCGAAAAAAAAACCTTTAATTATTCGTTTTATTTTCGTCGGGTTTCCAATTTGATACGTTAATTACGAGCTCTTAAACCAACAGCGAACATCAAACAAGATCTTTTCCTTCCCGCAGATTACCACCCGGAATTTTTCTCCGATCCCGACAAGAAATCGCTCACCCTCCAGCCGGACGTCACCCAAACGATACCGCCCTGCTACGAGTACCCCTACACCACGCCGGCCACGTCGGTCACGCGATCCGTCTCCGAGCACCACTACGACGTGCCACACCTGACGTCCGGCAGCGACATCCAGATGTCGCCGGCCACCAGCTCCACCTTGGAGTCATCCAGCGGCAAAAGGAGCCAGCTCAGCGGCTTCACCAATAACTGTAAGTACCAAATAATCCAGTCTTCAGAACTTGTTCGACTATCACTCGATTAAGCGATGATTGAAACTCATTATCTTACAGCTGATTCAACCTACGAAGTAGCAACTGATACGGTCACATTACCAATGGCGAATCTACCAACAGCTTACGCTGTCACTCCTACTGCATCTGGAAACTACACGAAATCCACTTTATCCGGATCCGGCGGGTTTTTAAACCTACCCGACCTGCGAGTGACGCTTCTGGTGCCCGAAGGAGTTCTCCCCAAGAGCAGGAAGCAGGAGATATTCCTATCTATACTCAACGAAGATGGCTTCAGGCCGAAGCTGTCCGAAGGTCTGACGCAACTGAGCCCGATCGTTTCCTGCGGCCCCAACATCGCCCTCAACAAGGGAGTCGTACTGAAGATACCCCATTGCGCCGAGATCACTCGCAACAACTGGCAAATCTCCATACTGCAAAGCGATTGCAGCAATCCCCAGTGGCAGAACGCCGTCACTTTGGGCCAGGAAACTATAAACACCAACGTGTTTTGCCAATTGGATAAATACGACGCGTTCCTCATCACCGAACAACTGGCCAGATACGTGATAGTAGGCAGATCGGACCAACCCGGATCTGCCATTAAGAGACTCAAACTAGCCGTATTCGGTCCGAAACTGTGCTTCCAATCCTCCGGCGATTACAGCTTAAGAGTGTATGTACTCGAAGACACCAACTCATCCATGGACACGGTTTTCGGACAAGAGCAACGCCTCGGCGGCCATCTCTTAGACGAGCCCAGGTGCATCACTTTCCAAGACACCGGCAGCGATTTATGCCTGTCGCTAGACAACATAAGCGACGGCTGGCGCGCCAAACCGTCCACCAACTACCAAGAGATCCCCTTCAGGCACCTCTGGCAGGCGACCAGCAACAGCCTGCACTGCTCCTTCACCTTGGAGAGCCTCGAACCGGCCGGTTCGCTCGGCTTCCAGTTGCGCGTCAACCAGAAGGGCTTCGACTACATCCAGGTGTTCGACGTGCGCTGCAAGGACGACGACGCGCCCAAGGGCGTCGACTACGCGAAGAGCGCCAAGCGCAGCGTCGTGGTGACCGACAGGGGGGTGGCGCTCTGCGAGGACCACAACAGGACGAGGCTGTCGAAGGCGCTGAAGCGGCAGCTGTGCCAGTGCCTGGACGCGCCGACGCAGCACGGGAACAACTGGCGCATGCTGGCGCACAAGTTGAACGTGCACGGGTATATCATCTACTTCGGAACGAAGGCGTCGCCGACCGATTGGATTTTGGACCTGTGGGAGGCGAGGAATAGGGGCGGTAAGGCGCTGACGGATCTCAGGCAGATCCTGATCGATATGGGACGAACCGATGCTGTGACTATTTTAGACAATTCGTTCGCGACTAATGATTTTTGAATTGGTATCGTGTATATAGAATAATTTATGAATTATTATTATTTAAATGATTTTATGTGTACGTGGGTGAGGTTAAGAGTTCTGGGGCTTATATACCGAGGGTGTTCCAAGCTGTTTGCATTGTATTTCATTGTCCAAGAACTTTGGCCAAGAACTTTTCACCTTACCCTCGTAGGGTATACTTTTGCAATTGCAGATCGGTTTGAGTTCATTCTCAATCAGCCAGTTTTTCGAGTTTTAAGAGACGATTTTTAAAAGTTTAACAATAAACAAAAATTTCACAAAAAAAACTGATCTGTACGTGCAACAAATTCCTTCCTTTGAACTTATTAAACGGCAGACTAAAAAGTCGGTCCGCCCTTAATTTTTTTTTAATTAATTTCGCAAACTTATTCGAATTTACTATATTTATGTATAAAAACAAATTAAAATTATTTTTTATCGTACGTTGTTGGAATAGATGATGTGTAAGGGTTCTCGTTTAACGAAACTTAGATATGGACCACGAGCGATCGATAGAAATGTGCAATTAATCGATGATTAATCGATAATTAATTTCTCAACGAATGAAACCGAAACCCCCCGAAGGAATGTTCGCGGGGCGACCCCGCGGAAATTCCGACGCCTACGTTGTATTTTGTTGACAATATTTATTCACTTGTTAAAACGGGCACTGAGATGTCAAATGAACATTAACGTTTAAGAGAAATATTTACGATTTCATAAAAAAATTAAAATTATGAAATTTAAGTTTAAGTAATATTTAATTAACAGTTTCATGAAGCCTATTAAATGAAAAAATGGTTCATTTTTTTTTTGATTTCGCGACGAAAATGATTTCTCAGAAACGTTAATGAATTGTACACAAATTTCTGAAATACCTATAGGTCAATAGAGTTCCAATTTATAGAGATTTTCGATGAAAATCGTAAAAAATTGCGTGTAAGGGTACAAGTGAAAAGCCATTTATATCCGGAAAGCTGTCGAAAATGAAATTATCGTGTAGAAATTTTATACAAAATTTAAAAAAAATCAAAAGTAGTTTTTTAGATATTTTAGAAATGTTTTGTACAAATAAAAATATTAACGAGAAATTTCTGTGTAACTAGATGCAGCTCTAAACGTTGATAATCTATGTAATCTAGGTATTATATAACGATGATTGTATATACAGTCAATATATTGACGATTTTTTATTAACCCAGCGTTTTATTTCTAATAATAAATTAACCAAAGAGTCAAATAATTTACCAACGAAAACCGGTGAATTACCAAAGTTAAAATGTGACAACTAGCGACATCTATTAATCATAAAAAGAACCAAATATACACAACAGTAGCCAAGTTCGTAAGTTTTCCAATAGAGGGATTAAGGAGTAGAGAAAACTGTACTCGATTTACAAACGATCACAAATACAACTTTTCTACAGGAACTGAAACTGTAAATGAGATCTCTTAATAGCAAAATCATTAAAAGATACTACAATTGAATGAAAATTCAAGTAATTTACAATAATATTAAATCAATGCAACCTGTGAATTACCAAAGTTAAACCGTGACAACTAGCGACATCTGTTAATGATAAAATGAACCAAATATGTTCAATAGGCTAGTGCCTAAGTTTGTATTTTTTCAAATAGAGGGAGCAAGTAATATAGAAAACTGTTATTGAAATATGACGATTGCAGCGCCACCTTTATTCAAAATTGCAAATACAACTCACCGACAGAAACTGAAACTGAAATTTCCAATGAGGCAAAGCTCTTTTAATACCAAAACACACTGAAAGATATCGCATTTAAAAGAAAATTCGAGTAATTTACCACCAAAAGTAATTTCAAAAATACTGATTATTGAGCTATTTTTTTGCAAAAAACTCATTTTTCGAATAAATTACTATTCACTAGCCCGACATCAAAAGGAGCAAAGAAAGGGGCACATAATATCCCACTTCTGAATGCTTTATTGGTCAAAAGAATCGTGAATTACTGATTTTTCGAGTCGACGAAACGAATCATATTTTCTCCGGGTCGCTTTCAAAGGACTCCTCTCCTCGCTTTCGCATACACACACACAGTTATCCTTTCCGCCCCATTTTTCTTATTTCGACACATTGAAAATCGGCCACAAATTACGGCGCGTCGAATCTATTGAAGTTCTAACCCGTGGAAATTATTATTGATACGTAACACTTTGAGGGTGCCAAAATATACATGTTATATTCATAAAGGAGGGAACGGGAGATGTGTATTTGTATTTCATGTATAACGGCGGATGTTTAGATGGACCCGATTGGGAAAAATATAAAAAAGGTAGCTAGAAAGATGGGAGGAATGTGAAAAAAAGTTATCAATTGGTGAAACTATTAAATTATTTTTTCTTACAGATACTGCAATATTTGGGGCTCATCAAATGGATTAAAAAAGTATTTTCTTCCTACTTTATTTTTCATAAATTTTGATCATATTTTGATCCATAGGTAATGATTTATAGAGCGTAAAAGTAGGGAGAAAATACAATATTTTTGTACTAAAAAAAACTCCAAAGAAACCGTCAAAGAAAATCGAAAAAACCGCCCTTAAAAATAACCCTTAACCGAATCTGGTGGTAAACAGTGAATTTTGAATAAATTCGGAGCATATTAAACAAAATAAATCCGGCAAATAATTCAACGTTTGGCGCGTATGCTGCGTCGCTTATTCGAAAATTAATCGAAAATTCGCAGCCATAAATCGCGCATTGTAATAGTTTCGATCTCGCATAACTTATGAATATGGAATTTCGAATAAATAACGAAAATGGGTGTATAGGTAGAGAATGGAGGGAGAGAGAGAGAAAGGCGAATTCGGATTCGAATTCGATTCCGCAATACACGAAGCTGTTACCGTTGGTTGGTTAAATGATTAATAACCAACAAATCGGATTTGCATGTATAGGGGTAGAATCGCTGAAAGCTCGAAAGGGGCCCCTGCACCCCTACCACCACTTCATTCTTTATATTCACCTTTTCCAAAATTTTGCTTTCATTTAAACGAGCTAAATCAACACCAAATAAGAACCAAATTAGTGCTAAATCAGCAACTAGTCAGCAATCATCACTAGGTACTATTCAGAATTACTATAAATTAGAACTGATCAGGAATTACATATGATTAAATCAGTACTCCAATCAGTAAACCAGTGACCATAAGCGATGGTATACAGCATGTCCCCACTAACCCCAAACCATCCAACAGCACCTTAATCAATTCATCTTTTAATTCCACCTTCTACAACCACCGAAATGATATACGTTCAATTACTTAATAAATCCAGTGTCTCCCGATGGGATTGACACTTCGCAAAAGAAACTGCGAATCCCCTTTTATCATCCCCCGAAGAGAAAAATCTCCGGTCATATTCATAACCATGCATTCCTCCGCGTTATAGCGCGCGCCCGACCAAAATGCATCCTCCACTAAACTCTCGAGCTTTTAATCAATCTAATAGAGTTGCCCCGACGATGCCAATATTTCTAAGCACTCGCTGCGATTGTGAATCGACCCTTATTTATCGCGTTATAGTCGGCGGGCTTCGAGTTTCTCGCTAAATTAAGGGTTCAATGGTTATACCGTAACCTAGATAGATAACCCACATGCCTAAGTAAGATGAGTTATTTACTTACCATTGTGAACTTGGGATTCCGTCGTAGGTATTGTTCCTGAAATTAAAAATAAAATTTAGATTTGTTTATAATTATTAGATAAAATCTTTTTGTCTATTATAAATATTTCTGGATTGCTAGTGTAATTTAAGTTGAATTCTTCTTTGTTAAAATGGAATACTTTTAGTATTAAAATACATATTAAATTTGTATTTATTTCAACATAATCAATTACATTTTGGATATTTAACAATATCGGACTGTCATAAATTAGGTATTTATTATTACCAGTGGAACTGCAGCCTGCTGACTAAATTAACTGGTATAATCAAATAGGAAAATATGGCCCGCTCGTATATAACAATAAAACGTCATTTAGTAGATTTATTAAATCATTTTCATCGGGATGAATCTATTTATCGAACGATCATTTTCGATAAATATATTCTCCTCCGCCCATTTGCTAAGTTTTTGTAAGTATTCCTCCGTCTCCCCATCAAACGAGAATCGCTTTCTGCGAAGCTAATTTAATATTTTTATTATGGCCATTCGGTTTTCGAAAGAGATCGATCGAAAATAAGCCTGTTTTGATTTACTAAAAAACATGCTCATTTATCAAAAAAATGTAGAGAGAATTGATAATGTCTGAAGGTTTCTACAAAAGTAGTCATTTGTGGAGTTAATAGGTATAATTTTGGAACAAAATTGGTCCATTGGAGAATAATAGTCTATATTGGTACATTAGTAGGTAGGTCCAAGATCTAATTAAAAGAACAATCTACAGGGTGGCCCAGAACTCACCACACCGGGAAATGCCTTATGGAAACGACAATGCAGATGCCAAAACTGCAGCCGAAAACATGAAAAAGTTTTTCGTTTGGTAAATAAAGAGGTTTAAAATCGACCAATCCCAGTAGGAATTCAAATCCACGAAAATGACGTGAATTAGCTATACACCAATTTGACATTATTGAAAGATTCTATTTCCTTTACACTTTCAAGGTTAACAAAACCTGCCAAAATCAGCTGTGACTATTTTCAAAGATTTGTTTCCAAATCGATCATTCAGGAGCTTCGTCGTGCTGATATCAAACCTACAGAATTTATTTATTGCTTGAAAAGTGGTTCGAATCGAATAATCCATTTTTTGATCGATTTGAAAGCAAATATTTGATCAATAGTCGCAGCTGATTTGGCAGCTTTTGTTAACCTTAAAATTTAATAGGACATAGAATCTTTCAATAATGTCAAATTGGTGTATAGCTAATTCACGTCATTTTCGCATATGTGAACTGCTACTGGGATTGGTCAATTTTAAACCTCTTTATTTACCAAAAGAATAACTTTTTCATGTTT